GTAAAGGACATAAAAAGCGCTCTGTTGTACGCCATGAAGTTCGAGGCAGCCCAGCAAGCAACTAGTAGAGATCGCTACCCAGTTAGAGCTGTGCGAGTCCATGAGCCAGTGGATCAACTGATGGCTCGTTTAGATGATTTAGCCAGACAAGTCGAAGATTTGATACGGAGTAGGAGCGAGAAGAAAGTGGCTCTAAGGTGTTGGAGATGTGGTAGTGAAGGTCACCTAAGACGGAATTGCAGAACACCCCAGGGTACGGAATATAAAGCAGATGATTTTACCAGACAAGTCAGTGGCTTGAGACGGAACAGAAGTGAAAAGAAACTAATTCTAAAGTGCTGGAACTGCGGAGTTGAAGGCCACATACGAAGAAACTGCAGAACACCCCGAGGTACGGAAAATAAGACCATTTCCCAGCAACAACGCGCAGTAAACAAATTAGTGACCATATCGAGGAACGGAGGTTGCCAGATAGTGAAAAACCTTGTTTTAAAGCTCTTAAAATTTATACAGTGAGTGGCAACAATAACGGACTGTCCATCAATGGGAATATCGATGGAGTTCCTTGCAGTATGATCATTGACACAGGAGCTAATGTTACCATCATTAGGAAAGATTTAGCTGAACAGTTTAAAGATAAACTTATTTGGACGCCATCCTGTGTTACCCTTCAGACTGCGTCTGGTGACAAGATCGACATAACTGGGAAGTTAAACGTAAACATCACGTTTGGAAGTGCCGCCTACCATCACACGGCATATGTGGCGGATATTACAGATCCATGCATACTCGGATTGGACTTTTTAAGGAAATACAATTTTTCCTTAGACTTGAAAAACAACAAACTGCTTTCAGGATCTGAAGACATGACTATCCATCCTAAGAAGGGATCCTCACCTGGAAATGCCGACGCTTTGTCCGAAAGAACCAGCTCGAGAAACAGCCGAAATCATGCTAGGGTCGAAAAGAAACACCAGACTACCAGCTATTCTCCATCTCAGATGCTCTTCGGTCGAGACCTTCGTCTGCCTTGTGACCGCCTGTTTCATCGCCGTACGGATGCGCCTTCATCGCCTGAGGAACACATCCAAGATGTCAAGGCCCGTTTTGAAGTGATGCACCGTTCCGCACGAAAGCGAGTGAACTTGGCGACGGAGAAAGTGAAGACCAGATACAACACGAGAGCTACTGGACATAGATCCAACGAAGGAGACAAGGTGTGGTTGTGGAACCCGATTCGACGAAAAGGAGTCAGGCCTGATTTACAGTCACCTTGGGATGGTTCGCACACAATCCTAAACAGGCTAAATGACGTCATGGTTCGGATCCGTGAGTCTTCGAACTCTTACGACAGGTTAGCTCATTACTATGGCCATAGTACGTAATGTAAATAATTGTAAATAGTATCAGACCATGGTCCTTTTTGTTTATAAATGTGTATTTAGTATTTGATTTGTATTTAGTATTTGTTTTGTATTTAGTATTTGATAGCATTTGATTTGTTTTATGTATTGCATTTATTGTTCATGTTGTTTATTATAGTAATGTAATGCTTATTAATGCATTTATGCCACAGTTGTAAGTTTAGCTTCCTGTCCAGGGATTGTACTGCCCGGGACGTGCAGTCCTTGGGAAGGGGGCAGTGTTACGAATTTGGTATTTAAAAAGCTAATGTTAGTTCAATTATAAATTAAATGGTTTTATTTCTCGCGCAGTGCAGCGCGTGACGAATATTAAAAGAAAGCTAAGCCGGAAAATTAAAAATACAAGAGCGCGTGCATTAAATAAATAAATATCTCTTTTTGATTTCGAGAAAGTACTGGAAAATTCTAGCGCGTGATTTTAAAATCTTATAAAAGGAGGAAAACATCTCAGTTTGTTAGTAGTTGCTTAGTTTGTTGTTGTTTAGAAAACTACTGTTGTTGATTGTAGCGAATTCGCGGATTAGCGTTCTTTAGCTGTTTTGAATTACGTTCTATTGGACATTTGAGTAGTTAAAAGAAAACTACTGTGAGATATTGTAATACTGCATGATAATTTGAGAAAATTTAAGCATTTTTGTTGTGATAATAATAAATTTTTGTTCATTTTTCATCGGACTTGTGCATTCATTTCATAACGAACCCGTACGCACGCAACAGTATGAAGCTATTCAAAATTCCTTTCGGGAACAACAAACGTTACATTTAAAAACTGCAAAGAATTTTACTCTGCAGAACAACTTCTCTCGATAAACGTCCAGTTTCCAAGAGAAGCATTAAATTTAAAATTGCACAGAATTATCGCTCTGATTTTTCCAAGTGGCAACAATGCTGATTTTCAACAGCCAGCAGTCCAGTAACAGCTGAATGAAGAACTGTTGCCGAAACCTCATTCTAAAAGTATGAAGCTATTCAAAATTCCTTTCGGGAACAACAAACGTTACATTTAAAAACTGCAAAGAATTTTACTCTGCAGAACAACTTCTCTCGACAAACGTCCAGTTTCCAAGAGAAGCATTAAATTTAAAATTGCACAGAATTATCGCTCTGATTTTTCCAAGTGGCAACAATGCTGATTTTCAACAGCCAGCAGTCCAGTAACAGCTGAATGAAGAACTGTTGCCGAAACCACATTCTAAAAGTATGAAGCTATTCAAAATTCCTTTCGGGAACAACAAACGTTACATTTAAAAACTGCAAAGAATTTTACTCTGCAGAACAACTTCTCTCGACAAACGTCCAGTTTCCAAGAGAAGCATTAAATTTAAAATTGCACAGAATTATCGCTCTGATTTTTCCAAGTGGCAACAATGCTGATTTTCAACAGCCAGCAGTCCAGTAACAGCTGAATGAAGAACTGTTGCCGAAACCTCATTCTAAAAGTATGAAGCTATTCAAAATTCCTTTCGGGAACAACAAACGTTACATTTAAAAACTGCAAAGAATTTTACTCTGCAGAACAACTTCTCTCGATAAACGTCCAGTTTCCAAGAGAAGCATTAAATTTAAAATTGCACAGAATTATCGCTCTGATTTTTCCAAGTGGCAAACATGCTGATTTTCAACAGCCAGCAGTCCAGTAACAGCTGAATGAAGAACTGTTTGCCGAAACCTCATTCTAAAAGTATGAAGCTATTCAAAATTCCTTTCGGGAACAACAAACGTTACATTTAAAAACTGCAAAGAATTTTACTCTACAGAACAACTTCTCTCGATAAACGTCCAGTTTCCAAGAGAAGCATTAAATTTAAAATTGCACAAAATTATCGCTCTGATTTTTCCAAGTGGCAACAATGCTGATTTTCAAAAGCCAGCAGTCCAGTAACAGCTGAATGAAGAACTGTTGCCGAAACCTCATTCTAAAAGTATGAAGCTATTCAAAATTCCTTTCGGGAACAACAAACGTTACATTTAAAAACTGCAAAGAATTTTACTCTGCAGAACAACTTCTCTCGATAAACGTCCAGTTTCCAAGAGAAACATTAAATTTAAAATTGCACAGAATTATCGCTCTGATTTTTCCAAGTGGCAACAATGCTGATTTTCAACAGCCAGCAGTCCAGTAACAGCTGAATGAAGAACTGTTGCCGAAACCTCATTCTAAAAGTATGAAGCTATTCAAAATTCCTTTCGGGAACAACAAAAGTTACATTTAAAAACTGCAAAGAATTTTACTCTGCAGAAAAACTTCTCTCGACAAACGTCCAGTTTCCAAGAGAAGCATTAAATTTAAAATTGCACAGAATTATCGCTCTGATTTTTCCAAGTGGCAGCAATGCTGATTTTCAACAGCCAGCAGTCCAGTAACAGCTGAATGAAGAACTGTTGCCGAAACCTCATTCTAAAAGTATGAAGCTATTCAAAATTCCTTTCGGGAACAACAAACGTTACATTTAAAAACTGCAAAGAATTTTACTCTGCAGAACAACTTCTCTCGACAAACGTCCAGTTTCCAAGAGAAGCATTAAATTTAAAATTGCACAGAATTATCGCTCTGATTTTTCCAAGTGGCAACAATGCTGATTTTCAACAGCCAGCAGTCCAGTAGCAGCTGAATGAAGAACTGTTGCCGAAACCACATTCTAAAAGTATGAAGCTATTCAAAATTCCTTTCGGGAACAACAAACGTTACATTTAAAAACTGCAAAGAATTTTACTCTGCAGAACAACTCCTCTCGACAAACGTCCAGTTTCCAAGAGAAGCATTAAATTTAAAATTGCACAGAATTATCGCTCTGATTTTTCCAAGTGGCAACAATGCTGATTTTCAACAGCCAGCAGTCCAGTAACAGCTGAATGAAGAACTGTTGCCGAAACCTCATTCTAAAAGTATGAAGCTATTCAAAATTCCTTTCGGGAACAACAAACGTTACATTTAAAAACTGCAAAGAATTTTACTCTGCAGAACAACTTCTCTCCACAAATGTCCAGTTTCCAAGAGAAGCATTAAATTTAAAACTGCACAGAATTATCGCTCTGATTTTTCCAAGTGGCAACAATGATGATTTTCAACAGCCAGCAGTCCAGTAACAGCTGAATGAAGAACTGTTGCCGAAACCACATTCTAAAAGTATGAAGCTATTCAAAATGATGGGATTTTATTGTAAAAGGTAAAATAAAATAAATCTGATTCGAATTTTAAAAAAAAATCGCTTCGAGGTACAGTGGCTGTTCTCTAGATGCACCTCTATTTCAAATTTTGTAGCCCTGGGTTTATTAGTTTATGCGCAGTATGAACGAAAGACATACAGACAGACGCTATTATATATATGCAGAGATAGAGATAGAAATAAATATTAATTCATTAGCAAGAAATAAAAAGTTAAATTCATAAAAACGCCAGAAAGCATATAAAACATTTACCGACGAAAGGCAGTTATCATATACAAACATGAGAGAATAAATTAAACGACTGACATCAGAATTGATGAATGATAACGAGATTTAACTTTCACAGCGGTCAAACTCCAGCATTTAACTAGAATCCCATTTGAAATGAAGAAAGATATATATACTTACAGGGCTTCCAGTTCAGGCAGTCGGGAAAGAGCCTGACTTGGGATTTCTCTCAGCTGATTTCCGTTCAACCACAATTTCTGCAATCTCCGTAATGACTTGAGACTCCCACTCGGAACCGACTGCAATTGGTTGCTGTCCAAATGCCTGGGGAAAGGAAGAGACAAACATCTGTTAGCCGATAAAAACAAGAGCGATTTACATTTGGATGCCCGCTTTCATGTTTTATGTATGGCTCTTCTGAGTTTAGATCATTCGATTGGTGAGTTTTTATGACGTGATTTGGGATTCAAAGCTATTTGTTGCCGAAACTTACTCCAAAGTAATCGCGCGTGCTTTTGACATGTGATGCCATGCAGTTTTTTTCTTGTCGGGAAACGGTATTTGTTGTTAAACGCATTAAGTTTGTTTTCTCAAATGGTGGCAAGCAATTTATACTTTTATTCTTAAAGTGGGAATTCAGCTAAATTAAAATTTAAAAAACTTGAACCTTAAAATTAAATTAAAAATCAGATGTGTACATCACATGACTTCCTTGTACGGAATATTAAATTACACGCATTTTTTCTTGCATTTCATTTAAACTTATTGGATTGAATTAAATCTACTTCGCCTACAGCCACAATAGAATAAATGAGTTCTTTAAAATTCACTCTATTTGTTTACCATAGCGACACTCTGGCGCTAGGTTCACTTAACAGTATTATATTTCGCTCATATTATAACTCAGAATGCACAAAATTTATACCATTTAAAGAATTATCGAATCGTTTCCACATGTCCTATTCAAATACTATAATAAAGCTAGAACGGTGTATAAAAGAAATTAAGCAAACAAGACAAATAAACAAAAAAAAAAAAAAAACAGTTTTTTTTTTTTTTTTTTTTTTTGTTTTTTTTTTTTTTTTTTTTTTTTTTTTTTTTTTTTTTTTTTTTTTTTTTTTTTGTTTTTTTTTTTTTTTTTTTTTTTTTTTTTTTTTTTTTTTTTTTTTTTTTTTTTTTTTTTTTTTTTTTTTTTTTTTTTTTTTTTTTTTTTTTTTTTTTTTTTTTTTTTTTTTTTTGTTTTTTTTTTTTTTTTTTTTTTTTTTTTTTTTTTTTTTTTTTTTCACAGACGATTGAGTATTTCACATTCAATTGATTCAGTTCTCACTTCGCGACAAGGCAAAAATACATAAAAACTCAAAATATTTGTATTAAAAATTACGGAGTAAATCTTAAACACTTATTTCCTCGAAAAAATTCCAGAAAAGATTAAGTATGATTTAATTCGCAATAATAAGTGAAGGCGTTATCTTCGTTGTTGCGAAGCTAAGTTGCTCCAGATTGGCAAAAGAATCCACTATCCTGCCGTTTGAAATGTAAAGAAGCAATGGCTGCCATCAAAAAAATTATTAGGCTTAGCGGCACTTAAACAATAAAATTGTTGATAATTCTAAAAATATTGCATACAGATTTACTAAAGGCATAAAAACCTTAACCGGAAGATAAGAACAACATAATTCAATCATTTTTCCAAGCAAAAAATGTACAATTTACAAACATACGTGTAAGAGTAAAGAAACTGAGATCACTGAGCCGGGAAACAGAGTGGATATATATATAAATATATTTATATACGTTTGGTGCGGCCGATTGCAACCCAAATACGAGGTGCACATCTACATGTTATAGCAGTCCTATATACAAAACTTCAACGTTCTGAGGCTACTCGTTTTTGAGTTATGCGAGATACGTACGTACGTACGTACATACGTTCGTACAGACGCCACGAAAAATTCTCTTCAGAATTCGTTTTAAAGCAGTTTTACATATATATGTCATAATAAAAGCACAAGGAAAAAAGACAGAGCAGTGTCGATCTGTGCTTAGATCCATATTGAAGAAGAATTTTGATTGCGTAGTATGTAAAGAACTTGGCAGTCGAGGCAGTTTTAATTCCATTTTTATTTCCAATTGATATTTGTGGCCACAATCACTTGGCACTGTAGTCGTGCCTTTCCACAGAAGATTTACATTTTTGATATTGTTGAGATAGAAAGCAAGCCAGCGATATTACATCTTAGCACAGCAGAGAGGAAAAGCTGAAAGTGCGTAGTTATGAAAGATGGAAGCACGCGAAGAGAAAAGTTTTGATTTACAAGGTCAGTTTCAGTTCTTAATTATTACGTCATCAGAGTTGCGCCGATCATAGAGTGATCTAGAAATGACGCAATGCAAAGAAGTTATTACGATTTTAGAATAGAGAGGAAGAATTAATGATTATAGTTTAATCTATAATTTTGATTCATATATTTTTATCTTACACACACACACACATATATATATATATTGAGAAAAAGTATTTTATTCTGTCCTTACGTACAGATATCACGCAAAAACATCGTTAAATTGCATTCGATAGCGGTCATAATGGATACTGTCGTTGAAATGTGCTACCTGAAACTTTTCGCGATTACAATACTTCCTTTTTACTTCGTACAAGGAAGTAAAAATTATCGTTAAATAGTTTAAATATTATTAGGCCAGAAGCATTTTGCGCCGAAAACTTTAAAATTCTGAATCACTTTTTAAATTGTTGCCTCCAAATATTATCGCCCTGTATCATATTTAAAGAAATTAAATGACGATGAATCTGCATAAATGTATGTATGTTTCTCGCATTGTGATAAAACAACTGTGCCTAGAGCCACGGCTGGGACGAGGATGAGGCATTTGTCTCAAGTGAACAAATATACAGGGCGCTAAATTATCTACATTATCAAAAATGCAGAAATTTATTTTTAAAACTCATGATTTTTTAAGTTATATTTTGTGCGTGTTTGTATAATGTTATGTTTTGAAACATCGTTTAGTATTATTTATTTATTCTGCCCCCCCCCCGCACAAATAGGTAAATAAATAATCTTGCATTGTCTACAGGGACGCACATTTACCGCTTTGCCTCAGGTGAAAAAATATGTACGCACGGCTCTGCCTAGAGCCATCAAAATTTGAATAACGTACGGCTCCACCCGAATACGGGCATTTAGAAGCTAAAATTTGGAATTTGTTTTACTATCTATTTCATATTTTGTAAAGCATTTATGAGTTTTTGATTAATAAAACTCAACAATTTCAAAGCCAGCAATGGCAACACTGTGAGGGAAAAAAAAAAAAAAAATCTCCAGTGAGCGAGGCTGTGTATCGGAAATTTTAAAGATTTGCTCTTCTTAAATTATTTTGCGATATTGCTGTTGAATTGAATTTTATGATTTAAATGCGAAGAACATGATATTAAATAAATAAAGGTAACATACAAAACGCTAGAAAAGGCTTCTTTAGACGTATTTTTTCTTTTGTTTTGTAATCTTTCGAAAGATATATTAATAATATGCAATTAATTATAAACTAATTATTAAGGTCCACATTTTAAGCTTTAAATTTTCACGAAAAATGAATGAATGTGGCTCCAGCCGACTTTGGTCCTGATATTCGCAATTACCTGAATGGTACATTTATGGCGAAATGGATTGGCCGTGGTGGACCAGTTCTTTGGCCATCCCGATCTCCCGATTTATCCAGCCTCGATTACTTTTTCTGGGATATTTGAGAAGTCTTATTTATGCGACTCCAGTTGACCAGTTGACTTAATAGAGAATCTCGTTGCTGGAATATCATTAGCTACTGCATTTATGCGTGAAATTCCTGGCATCTTTGGCGGTACACACCAGTTCCTCCATCGACGCTGTCAAACATGTAGGAATTTTGAATAGTTCTTGTAAACATCCTGGTTCAGTTCAAGTGAGACACTCTGTATTTATGACTAAATAATGGATATTATTCGTATCTTTGTTCTGTGCCTTCCCTCCAAGATAATACAACGATTTTGGAATCCTCCTGTGCATATATATGTGATGTACCAGCTTTTGTGCGGAATAAATAGAATGCTGAAGAATCATAAATTAGTCGTAGCTTAAATAATCAGACGATAAGTTTAAAAAACAGGATCCATTATTTATTATTCAGGAGAAAAATAGCAATTACAAAAATCTGATCTCCGGAGTAAATAAAAAAAGAACTACTAATAATATTTTGTAAGAAGGGTTTACTGCATCGTGACATTTAAGAAAAAGCCCCGATATTCCTTTTGCGAGTCTTTTTATAGCCTCTGGAAAGGCGGAGCTTCCAAGAAATGACGTCAGCCTCGTCAGCCAATCCAGTTCGCTTTAAATATCTCGAGAACATTGTAAAACTGTACGTGTAGAAAAGGCGGGAAAAACAACTTGACTACGGGGCTGTGGATTTAATTCCACGTACTTTCAAATAAGAGAACGTCGCCATTAAAAATTAAAAGAACATACAGTTAGAATTTTAATTGTATTCTTGACTATGGAATTTTATTATTACAACTATATATATTATATACATATTTGAGTTTGATTATTAAAAAAAGTTTTAATCTGAAATAATATACTTTTTTCTATTAATGTCTTCTTCTATATATACTAATTTGTACAAATATCGATAATTTTTTTATAATTTTTACAATACTATGGGAATATGTGGGTATACTTTTTCTAAAATAAGGATCTTATCTAATTCAGCTCTTAAGTATACCTTAAATTAAGAAGAATTTCTTACTCATCTTAGATTTTATTTAGGATGCAATAATTATTTAGGATGAAAAATTTTTTTGGCTTAAGTAGATCAATATCTTTTTAATAATTGAGTATTAGTCTTAACTTATAAACTAACTCTAACAAAATAACGAATTTCATCCTTACTTGAAAAAAGACGAAACACTCACACTTAATTTGGTTATTGTTAATTGATAGTGGATTGGTTTGTTCTTGACAAATCAATTAATCTGCGATCAATAACAATAGCTACTTTTTCGGTACTTTGGATTACATTTCAGTACTTTGGATTATAAATTTGGAAATTTCACGGTCAAAGTATTTTTCTTTACAGATTTTTAATAATTTTTAGTACAACAGATTTTAAATAATTTTTACTACAATAGGTCTAGATAACGTGGGATGCTGACTTGGAAAACTACTTAAAAATACATACAAAAGTAAGTATTTTTAAGTAGATTTTTTAAGTGTTTCTAACAAGTCTTAGCTTTAATTAAATTTTTTTCCCTTGGAGGTGATATATAAATACGT